TCCATAGCACCTTCCAATTTCGATTAGTCTATCAATCATACCCTGTAGCACAGTTTCTTCCTTAGCCATTAACACAAGGTCATCTGCATATTTCACAGTTTGAATAATTTGCCCTCCTAATTTGAAGTCTCCAAGCCCGTCCAGGGCTTCTTTGGTAAGGCATTCGCTGTACAAGTTGAACAAAATTGGTGATAAACGGCATCCTTGTCGAACTCCTCTTCCAATCTTCAGACGTCTTGTCTCCCCTCAGTCCAGTCGCACTCTAACTTTCTGATCCATATACAATTTACTAATCAATCTTCTTTCACGCCAATCGATACCTGTTTCCTTTAGGATCTGCATTAATTTGGTCCAATTTACACGGTCAAATGCCTTCTGCCAGTCTATAAAGCAAGCACACAGTTCTTCATCTATCTCCAAAGTTCGTTCTGCTATAATTCTCATCATCCCAATTGCATCCCTGGTTCCTTTTTCTCTTCTAAATCCAAACTGATCCTCTCCAAGTATATCCTCTATTTTCCTTTCAATTCCTGGATGTATAGATCTGCATATTTTTTATTTTGGTACTACCTGGAAGTGAGTGGTCAGCTTTATGCCTGGGCCATTTTACCCACAGGGAAAAAGGCCCTCCTGGTACCCATCAGACAGGAGATTGGTTGGGCCCCAGAACCAGTCTGAACAACATTGAGAAGAGAATAATCTTGCCCTACTAGGACTCAAACTCCAACCCCTTCATTAGCCAACCCATAACCAGTTGCTGTACTGACTGCGCTATCCCAGCTCAAACATATATATTTTAAATGGCTTACCGAACTAATTGCATAAACCAAACACATTTTTCTTTCTTACAACTTTTTCAATTCCCCAATATTACACTTTTCTTCATTTTATGTCAATTTTAAGTAGTCCCCTCTAAGGCAGCGTCCACACAAGCGCACAAAATGCGTCCATTGTAACGAGTGTCATGACATCCGTTGTAAAAATAAACAAGAGAGGTGAATGCTACGCTTTCTTATGGCTCCATTGTAGACAAAACTACGCACTGCATTCTGCAACTGTTTGGTGTCCTCAGCAACGTCCTCAGCAAAGTACGTTCATTATAATGGGCGCATTTTGTGTGCTCGTGTAGACGCTGCCTAAAGTGTAACATTGAGGTTTTACTAACAACACTGACGACTCTGATTTATCGATAAAGAAAAGATGGCAAAATTGGTCTCAAACAGTGAAAACATCAAGGTGAATGCCTGCCATCTGAAAGAAATTTCAACATTATTTTTACCAGTGCTTCAGAGACTGCTTTGGAGCTTGAATATGGGTCTGCATAGAGTGAAGCCAGAAACTAACTGAACTATGGCAGAACTCTACTCTAAGCTCATAATGTTCACTATAACAATAAAATTACTGTCAGATTTTCTTTAAAATGATCTTGTACCTTTCTGACTCACTTCAAGCATTTGGAATAATATGAGGGCCATAAGCAGCAGGCTTCTGGTCAGTACCTGAGTGAAGATATGGAATGATATGGAACATCATGGTTATGTCCACAAAGCTGGTAGCAATCCTCAACAATGCCCCAAGGAGCTATGCCAATGACAATCACTTGTGCACTACTTTTGACATTTTCCAGCAGGAGTGCATCGCCAATCTGTCTTGTGACACCTGTCAACATTTATAAGTTACATACATTTCTCAGGTGAACAGGCAACAGAAAGCAGTATAAGTCTACTGAATTCTTCTTATAAAGTATGTGCTGTAATATTTTCAAACCGAGTAAATAAAAGGGTGCAAAATATATTAAGAGAAGGTCAAATTGGCCTCAGGGAAGGCTGCTCTTGCTTAGACTGTTTTTACAACAATCCAACTAATAGAAAACAAGGAAAGAATTCAACCTTCCTATGAATACTGCATTCACAGAATTAATAAGGACCAAAGTAATGACTAACAGTATCATACTAGAGCAAGTTACTAACTTTAACTACCTTGGATATCAGTTGGTCAGCAATAAAAATTATGATTTACAAAACACACTACAAAAATTTGTCTCTGTGAACAATTAAAAGACACATTGCCGAACAAAACTCAATGTGAGACATGCTAAAATTCTACAAATTTCTAGCATTACCATCTATCTTACATGGCAGAAAATGCTGGACTTTAAACCTTTTCTTGTGTATTATTTTCTCATGATTTTCCTAAAATAATGAAATTTTAGAGTAGAAATAAGAAAAAACATAAGAAAATTACTTTCCTTAGCCAAGCGAAAGTCAAATAACACAGCAGCAGGACATGATTACTTCTTGATATGGACTAAAGCCGAATATCTCACTATACTATATGATTCTTACAGTCCACCTGGTTCAGGGTAGTCAAGTCATTAGGATGAACAAGTAATGCAGGTGGAGAAAACAATACATGCATACAGAATTTTGATATAAAAGCAGTCACTTCAAGAATGAGAGATGGAAGGGTGGTATTAAATTTTATTTCAGGACTGAGGAAATGACAGATTCCAATGAGAGGCATGACTGTAGTGCTGTAAGCCAGGCGCCTGTCAATACTTGCACTTGTTATCACATTACAGTGCTTCTTAATAAAACTTTCACCCATTGTTTTACAGTGTCTAGTATAAAGAGAAGAATATGCATTTGTTTTCTGAAAAGAGGGTGCTGAAGAGAATATCTGGACGTGATGGTTAGAGAAAGGAAAAAGAGGCTGTAAAAACTGCACAGTGTTTCACACTTTGTACTCTTGGTGAAATATTATTACAGCAATGGACACTGTTAAAGATAATCCTGGTATAAAGAATTAACAAACATCACAAACTTCTAGAGATCAATATTATGGTGATTACAGTAATGAGGATGAGGTGGGAGGATGTGAAATGCACACATCATGTTGGTTGGAAAACCTCAGAGAATGGGATTACATGACAGCCCCAGGTGAAGTTTAGAGCATAAAATAGAAATGAGTGTTGACAACATAGGGTACGTGGGAGTGGACTGACTTCAGCTCACTGAGGATAGAGTCCAGTGTCAGGCTCTTGTGTATTGAGTAATGAACTTTCAGGTTCCATACAACTTAACCAGCTAAGGGACCATAACTGTTTCAAGGACACTGACTATGGAGTTAGTTTCAACATTACAACACACCTTTATTTAAGCCATCAGTGAAGACCCATGCTCCAGTGGCTCCTGCAATCTTTGACAGGCTCTTGTGCAAAACTCTTCCAAGCTTGCGCTGCTGACCAAAGTTGGATTTGCCACCCTCCACTGTAATGACCAGTTTTGGCAGCTCCAAGCCCCACTCCTTGGTGAACAGCTGCATAATGAGTTCTGGTCTGGTGTCATGTGCCAGGCGCACATACTGCAACATAACCAATGGATATATACACAGCTGGGAATTTCTTGACCAGCTAAATAACTATCTCCTTTAAACAGAGGCAGTACACAATGGAACTGTTTGCTCTTAAATGTATATCATTGTTAAGGTAGTTCAGAATACTCCAGCTTTCATAATGTCACAAATCATTTTGCTTACCTGTTTCAAGTCAGGGGCATTACTGCTTGAATCAAATTGCTTGATTGCATATGTACAAGTATATTGTTTTCATTATAATTTAAAAATCGTGCTGTTAATGACATAGGGGTGGTTGGGCTGAGTGCTTTCCTTTTTTTTTTCTTTCTTTCCAAAATATGAACTTATTTTCATTTTAATTTATTCTGATTTTCCATCTACTGGACCAGATTTGAGAATGTAAAGCAATAACTACATACAGAATACCTCCTTCTTACGTGCCATATTTTACATGATGGTTTTCATACATCAAAGTAAGGAAAAGTTCATATGAATATACATCCTGGTAGCCTTCCTCAAAGAGCTACAGATATTCTGATCTGTGGCTATTCTGATTTCAACTTCCATGGTCACACCTAAAATTAGCGATCACAAACTGTATTCCTATGGTTACCAAGGTGCTTGCGAAAGTAACTTTTTATGTTGGTGAGGACTTTTTACAAATTTGATAATATTTTGGAACTTGGAAGGAACACAACTCCAAGCAGTATTTTCCAATCATTTAATTTACTGAAGTTTGTTTGATTCTGTCTTCAGTACCTTCCCAGGACTTTGTAAGGTCGGATATATGACACACTGAAAAAATGAAACAGTAGCAAACCCCCTCATGGTAGTTTTTACAATGAATCCTTGTGATTTCAGTCTTCCTTCTCCACTAGCAGTCTGAGCTCGATTTGTCAGCCGCTCAATAAGCATAATTTTACTGTTGCAAACCACCTCTTAAAAACATGGTATTATTAGGTGTGAAGTTTTTATTCAGAGTTAATGCAAGTCTTGATAAGATATGTTGCATTTTATACTGTTGTTGTCTTGCCATTTACTCATATGAGTGGATCAGACTCTGCTAAAAATATACAATTTAAGTAGTGAGAGGAAGGAACAGTTTTGTTTCGAATGTGTTAAAGGACAGTGCATGTGTTTGTTGTGCTGTGCTATAATTTCTGCAACCAAATGCACAATGTCAAGAGAAACTTTGAAACTAACCACAAGATTCTGACATAAACTTCTCTCTCAGTATTGATGTAAGGAAAAATAGTGTGTGTGTGTGAGACCAAAAAACTGAGCTCTCATTTCAAAAGTCCATCTTTACTAGGCCTGTTCAACAATCGAAGCAGTGCAAGTTGGCGTCTTGTAAAGTCATTTATGTTCTTTTGAAACCAAAGAAAATATTATGAGGAAAGTAAAATAAAAGTAAATAAAAGTAGGATTACTGTTTTAAAGTTTTGGAAACACGGCAGAAATTGCACCATCGATTAAAGTTATCCAAGTGTCAGCTAATGCAATAATGAGAAATGAATCGATTTCACATACACTTAGTTATGAATGACCTAAAAACATGTGTCTTTATTCAATATATTTTGATGGTCTACAGACATGGCTAATACTGCCCAGGTGGAAGTAAGAGGTAGAACAGTCTTCAGTGCTTTGACAAAGGAAGAAATACATACAGTTCTTCTTTTGAAGGAAAGAACGAGATGCAGAGATGTTTTCCATGCCTTCAAAGAGTATGCTTCTGATATCAACTACAGCTCCAAAAAACTCGTGTTAATATCAAATGATGAGTATATGCAAAAATGGTTCTGTAAGTCTCATCAAGAAAGATAAATTAATCCCAGTGGCCATTGCATACACTATATTATTCAATAAGGAAGCCCTGTCTACAAATGTGGTCAATTTTTAGCATATAACAAACATATTAGCTAAAATACGTAATATACTCCATTCCATAAGTTTTGAAACAGGCTTTTCAACGCTGCCCTGGAAGGTGTCAAATCAGATTACTTTGAGTGTATTAGTGCTTTTTGTCTACATTAAACAAGGTCCGGCAGGGAGCTGTGACATATTTTTGATGGGCATAAAAATGGGGGTAGGAGGACTAGCGCATGTGCAATGGTTGGCAGTTACTCGCTGTTAGACGCCATTTCAGTAGCCATGGAACCATGTACGATTGAACACCGCGCCTTTGTTTTTGAGATGTTTATTAAAATGGGTATTTCGGCGCATTTTCACTTGACAGGAAGCGTCAATAAACAAAATTTCTGGTATTGGTCGACAAACAATCCCCAAGAACTCCATCAAAGATCCCTATATTGCGCGCGAGGCACTGTGTTGTGTGGAACTGCCCGATTTGGCGTAATTGGGTCTTACTTTTTCATGGAAGGCTGATGCACTGTAACAGTAAACTCACAACGTTATGTGACAATGTTGTGCGAGTTCTTACTGTCTGAATTGCGAAGACGTTGCATCGACCTCACTAAAGTTTGGTTTCAACAAGATGGGGCTACTTGCCATACATCAAGAGAATCAATGACCTTACTGAGAGAACATTTTCCTGGGCACTTGTTTCAAAGCATGGGGATGTGGAGTGGCCCCCTCGATCCCCAGAACTTTCGACGTGCAATTAATTTTTATGGGGCTACCTGAAAACTAAGGTTTACATCGACAAACCACGCACTCTTGAGGCCCTTTCAGATGCCATCACCCAAGAAATTCAAGCAATTCCACTTGCTAAGTTTCAAAGGACTATGGGCAACTTTCTGCTCGTCTGCAACAATGCTTGGACAATAACGGTCTCCATTTGCATGATGTTATTTTCTGAAAGTGAATTTAAATTTCCTTATTTTTTGTTATAGAATCTTAAATGGAATTATACATGTACTCTTTAAAAACATTAAAATTTGCTATTCGTCAACAAATAACTGTGTACTAGTTTTCTGAAAATCATCACACCTCCCTGCCGGATCCTGTAGTACTATGTATTCATAATAAGTTTGCCAAGTATTGTAAACACGAAAACAAATTTTTGTATCAAATGGGCATCTACCATCACCAAGTGGCACAAAGAAAATGCTCTCATTATGTCAGCTTTTTAGAAAGTGATGGAATTAGCGGACACTTTCTAATGATTACTACAATCTAAAAAAGCCCTCAAGGTATATTTCCTTATGAACTTTTTGCTTTCTTGATTATCAGAAACCAGTCCATGAAGTATGCACATTTACAATTACTGTTTATGCGATGTTAAAATATTTCACAAGTTTTAGACTACAAAATATAAGATGTAAACAAGTTTCAAAATTATGTGAAATGTTCGGTTCTTGATAAAATTGTTATGATGTATGAAACATGTCATGACTGGTAATAAGTTGGACCATACTCATATCTGTGTTGTGCTCACCTGTGCCTTGCGTTTGTGTGTTCCACTCTGAAACTCAATTGTACCAAAAGCATCAGTAGGCAATAGCTGTGTGTGTGTGGATGGCATCCATAACTCCTCTTCCACTGTTCTGTTGCTGTCAGCATCATCAAGGCCACCACAGTGTAAGCTGAGTGGCCGATTGCAGTAGCACCTGTAGAAACGCGCACTCCAATGAAGTACACATATTTGAGATTTTGTATACTGCTGGCACTGACACTCATTTATTGCAGATACAAACCCATTTCCAACCCCAGATGACATATTTTCAACTGTTATTTCTGAATAAGCATTCCTCCACAATTTCTGAACTGAAGTCAACTGAACAGCTAGTGAATAAAGTACTTAAAACCTGAAGATGCTATGAACAAAACTAATGACAGAACATTCAATATACAAGATCTGAGGCCCTCACAATGGTGAGTATAAAGAATGTGGTCTCTGGCATTCAAAGATATGTACTCTTCTAGAGGAGAACTGATATTTCAGAGGAACCAGCTGCCTCCATCTTCAGAAAAGCAACTTGAACTTGAGGTTTAAACCAAGACCAATAATTTTCACATCTATTTACACAACACAGATTAAGTTACCATTTTCCTTTGTATCTTTTCATAGAATGCATCCTGTTGTGTGTCATGCAAAAGATATACAATGGGACAGTCTACACAACAATAATTTTGAAAAAGACAAAATAGACACTACTGTGTCAACATTTGTTTTATTAGCTGTCAGTGGTAATGCTACAGGTTTCAACCCTTTTCTTGGGTCATCTTCAGCATCCATATTTTGTTTCTATAGATTTTATACTAACAAATGTTAGTTAGTACAAACTCCATACAAACATTATATGGTCCCAAACTGAATGATGAAGCAATTCAGGATCGGGTACCAATATTCTTGTATGCCTGAAGATGACCCAAGAAAAGTGCCATAACATGTGGTGTTGCCACCGACAGGTAATAAAACAAATGTTGACACAGTAGTGTCTATTTTGTCTTTTTCAGAATTATTGTTGTGTAGACTGTCCCATTGTAATCTTTCATTCTCCTTTGTATAATTGCACAATAGATCACTGTGGTTGTGGTGCAAGGGCCAAGAAGGCCCACCCCTTATACATTCATTCAAATATTTATTTCACTGTACTGATGTTTAAAATAAATATGTATACGAAGTATACGAGTATGGCAGACTGTATCAAAGTTCTATACATTGAGCCTTCCTTCCTTGGAGGAAGCTGATAAATTTCAGTGAGCTTCACATGAATTACCACAGTTAAATTCAACTGAAAATCTATAAATTCAAAATAGCAAATTTTACTGAAATCTGTGAAACACTTCAGGAGATGCAAATGGACATTACTTCCCATTACTCATTCATTTTGGGCACTGGTACAGAATGAATATCTCACAAAATATACTACAGATGCTTGTTTACTGACCACAGAAAATGTGTCTGATTACACATGAATATCCATTCAGAATTATTACTTCCTAACCTAGATGTTGTTTAAAATTAACCTTAAAGCTACTAAAATTGTGAGTTGAGGTACACCTTCCATGGTATATTGCTTATTTAGTTAAGCACAGGGACAACTTTACCTTTTACCTTACTACTAGAATTAATCTACCCTGAACATTATCTGGACTATACAGTCACTGATGCCGATACACGTATAACCACATACAGCACTGCAGTATAAACCGGTATAGACACTGACAAAGGAATAACAAAGATAGAAAAAAATAAGAACACAAAATCCAGAAATGAATTCAATATTTCAGTATAAATAGGTAATCATCTTAGGAATAAGATAAATAATTGGACTTATCACGTGGAAATGATGAAAACTCACTGCATACCTAGAAAAAGAAAAATTAATACCAGCAAACCTCTATAAAGTCGGTTAACTCTTGCAACTAGTGGACCACACATCTCAAGACCGGAAATATCGAAGTTAAAAACCTATGGGAAAAATTTAATTCATCCATGATGTCTTGGAACATTGGTCGGAAGACTTGGCCTTTAAAATACGTTTTAACTGTGTACATAAATAGAAATATAAAGCATAATAAAATGCAACCTAAAACATTAAAGAAATACGCCACAAAACGAGTGCAAAATGGATATGCTACCTTCTAGAAAAATATTTGTCAAGCGGCGATTGAACATACGTAGCCTTCTTTTGTCGCAACTTTACCTTGTTTTATACATTCATTAGATCTGAACAGAATTAGTCGTACCGGAGACTCGTTGAGGCCTAAGAGTCTGCCGATGCTTGCCATTGACATCGGTTTTCCTTTTGGACATCGTAAACTTTTACACAATATTAATTATTACTTAGCGTGAAATACTGCGACGGGAAGACACAGCTATAAAGCACATTCCTGCAATAGTGGCCTAAGAGAAACTGAGCTTATGGTGGCGTAATTGAAGGAGGAACATAGAGTGAGGGTGTTTGAGAACAGTGTGTTGAGAATATTTGGACCGAAGAGAGATGAAGTGACAGGAGGTTAGAGAAAACTGCACAATGAGGAGCATTATAACTTCTACTCTTCTCCAAGTATAATTAGAATGACACAGGAAAAAGACACAGCACGTGGTTAAATAGAAGAAAGCCGATTTGAGAGAAA